AACTGTTAGTACTTATAAAGTTTAAGTACGATATTACCCGCTAGCAGTTCATAGCGTTTTTATCACTGGGTGCTGGCAAATGAACTTTTCATAGCACGGATTTTTTCATCATATGCGGTGAGTGTCGGCTAAAACGCTATTTTTAGACCCCACCCGCCACCTTGCCCTGACTGCCTGTTTTAAGCTCATAAAATTCATACAAATTACCCGGCCAGAATATAATTTACATTGCTGGAATTCTATAATTTGGTGATCATTTTGAATATAAACATCATATATTTTTGCATTAGACATACAAATTTTAGATAAAATGATTACTCTTGAGTAAATATGTTATCTTTTTGTGCAAAAATATATGACATTTATATTCAAAATATTCCTGATCTTACAAGGAATCCAATAATGTCAATTATATTATCCTAACTTTTAGTTTGAGAAATTATTATTTATTACAAAAAAGTTAAGTATTCTGGTTTCCCACATCCATGGGGAATGGTTGGTGGGGGTGAAGAGAGGAGGGACCCGACCGACCATCTATTTACCCTGAAGAATATATTTTTTTATTAACTGAAGATATTTGTTTTAGCTCATAAAATTCGCCTGAAATTACCCGATTGGGGAATATAATTTACATTGCTGGAATTCTTATAATTTGATGATCATTTTTGATAAACATCATATATTTTTGCATTAGACATACAAATTTTAGATAAATTTTTTAATCTGAGTAAGTATGTTATCTTTTGTTACAAAATATATGACATTTATATTCAAATATTCCTGGTCTTCCTGAAATCAGCAATGTCAATTATTATCCTAACTTAATCTGAGGTATTATTTAATACAAAATGTTAAGAATTTATTTTTCACCCCACATCTCTTGAAGGGCAGTTGGTGGGGGTGGGGAAGGATTTGGGACTGACCCTTGATTTGGAAGGGAAGCAAGGTGGGGGTACTTTGATTGACAGATAGTGTCCCTGAAAGATTATTATTTTTTATTAACTGAATATTTGTTTTAGCTCATAAATTCATACAAGTACCCGGTCAGAATATAATTTACATTGCTGGAATTCTTATAAATGCAGTGATCATTTTGATCTTATCATATATTTTGCATTAGACATACAAATTTTAGATAAAATTTTTTAATCTGAGTAAGTATGTTATCTTTTGTGCAAAATATATGACATTTATATTCAAAATATTCCTCAATCTTACAAGGAATCCAGCAATGTCAGCTGTAATATCTAACTAGTTTGAGGTATTATTTATTAAAATTTGATGGTTTCCCCCAAAATTTCTCCAGAGAGGGAAGAGCCGGCAGTGTAGTGTGAGAGGAGGGAGAGTTGAGTCCATTATTTGAATGGACATTAGCATGGCGACTGTATTTCTCTATTTCTCTTAAGTATTAATTATTATTGCATGTACCATCATAAATTAGATGCTATTTTTACTTCAACATAGTTATGTGTCTTCAAAAGTGATGAAAATAATGGTGTGTGCATGTACCATCATAAAATTAAGATGCTATTTTTACTTCAACATAGTTATGTGTCTTCAAAAAGTGGAGTTTGGGGGTCGGGCTGGTTTCTATTGGAATTAATCCCATATGTTCTGTTGTTCACTTAACGCGGATTTCACTTAACACGGGACCCTCTGGGTTCTATTGACCGCGTTAAGTGGGGTACAACTGTAGAATATATTGTGGCACCCAAGGCATGGTAACCGAGAATGTTTGTTGGTTTGAATAATGAGGAACATTCTTTGGAAACATTTGAATAAGGTGCAAAAACTGAACAGGAAAAGAACAAATTAATTATCAAACAAAAAATTGCCAAATTTTTTAAAGTCAAAATACAGTACCGTATATCTCGGCTTATGAGACGAAATTTGAACACTAAAAAAATCTGCCCAAAGTTAGGGGGTCGTCTTAATCAACAAATATAAAATTCTTACATCTTAAATATTGCGGTTTACTGTGTCAAGAGTGGTGATGGAAACATCGTAAGCCACTCACAAAGTCCTACCAGTAATTATTTTATACTGAAACTTACGTTTGGCAAGCTGGATTCAAATTAAGATTACCGGTATATTAAAATAATAAAAATGTATTATAAACCTGTCTAACATACCCTGTAATAAACACAGCTGCTATCATCACACACCCCTCCCCATGCCCCCCCCCCATTTGCCAGTGAGGAGACAAGAAAGGGAAAGTGACCGCGAGATTGGGCTATTTTTAGCCGTTGAGGTGGTCAGTAATGCATACCGGGTATCGGTATATTTACTGATAAGAATACTTATCTCCTATAAATAATTGATTAAAAATTTATTTTTTTACAAAGAATATTCAGTAAATGAGTGCATTAATTCTTGAAACTATCGACAGTTAATTACAGACGCTTAAGTGACGTCACTAGTGTTTACACTACACCAGCCGGTAAAATTTGATGCCATTACTTGAAGTGAATTGGCCTTATTTTAAGTAACTAACCACATATAAATAAAAAAATAAAAAAAAAGATCAAAAGTGACAAATAATATACGGTATGTATGTTGTGTTGTCAAAGTAAGAGGAACAATTGAAACTGCAAT